GAGCCTGGTGGGTGGGCCTGGGCTGCGCGGGCCTCCACCTGCCCTTGGGAGGGACCGGGGCAAGCTCTGCTACCTTTGTCGCTGCTGCAGCCTGCGGGGCCTGCGCTGCTGGAATGGAGGCGCTGTGCCAGAGGATGCGCTCTGGCTTTCAGCTCTGCCCGCTGGGTTGGGCATCTGGGAGCGGCCACAGAGAGTCGGTTTTGGATGCTCCGCTCCCCATAGGATCTCCACAGCGGAGCCAGGCTCCGGAAGGCAGCAGAGCGAGGGCTGCCTGCCCCTACTCCAAGCCCCTGACTCGAGCTGTCATTTCTCTTGGGGCGCCTTGGCTTATAGTGCAAGAATGTAACCCCTAGGTGTCTTTGTGTGTGAGGGAGTGGGGGGTGGTACGCTTGTCTTGTGCACTTAGGAAAGGGGTGACCGTAGTCCAGTATAGGATCAGGAGAACACCTGAGCCATGGCCGGTTATTTGATGGTTACGAGGCCTTGGACAATTTAATCTTTCTGAGCCCTTAGTTCCCACATAATTTTACTTTTCCTCATGGGGTTGTTATCAGGATGAAATAAGATACTGCTCAGGAGAAATAAAGGACAGTGCTTGCCACTTAGCATTAAATACTCAATATTTGTTCCTTGTCGTTGCTTTCAAATTGTTTATCAATTCATTGAATAAATATTGGGCACCAACCACATGGTAGGCAGCAGAGATACAATATTGAGCAAAACCAGCCTGGTTCTTGACCTTGGGAAGAGAGAAGCTTGTCGTCTTGGGCGGAGGTCAAAACCATACATGTTTATAGAGACAAGCCACTTAACATTAATGAAGTCAGTTGGTGGCATACAATAGATAGAAGTAGGTTCTGATTAAGTGTTGCCATGTAGGAATGCTGGCTTACAGATGTCAGATCATCTAATTTTTTTTTCAAGAGAATCTGTAATTGTTATTTTGTGAAATTTTTCAATTTTTAACTTTTAGCAACGAAATAAAAATTAATATGTATTTTTATTAGTTTCAGAAAGGAAAGGAGAGGGAGAGATAGAAATGTCAATGATGAGAGAGAATCATTGATTGGCTGCCTCCTGCACACTCCACAATGGACCTGGCATGGACCGAACATTGAACCGTGACCTCCTGGTTCATAGGTTGACTCTCAACCACTGAACCACACTGGCTGGGCTGAGAGATTTTTAAATACTATGAGCCAAACAAAAGACATCTGTGAGTTGAATTCAGCCCCTTGACTACCTGTTTGCAACCTCTGGTGTAGGCAGAGAAAAACAGACACTAATTAAATAATGAGCAATCAAAAGTGTAATTGTAACCAGATGTAAAAGTGAGAAGTGCTCTCAGGGCCTACACAGGCATGCCTTGTGTTATTGCTCTTTATTGCGCTTCACAGATGTTTTGTGTTTTTACAAATTGAAGGCAAGACCTTCCACCAGCAAAAAGATTATGACTCCTATTGCATTACTCTCTTTATTACATTACTCCATTTATTATTGTGGTTTGGAATTGAACCTGCAGTATCTCTGAGGTATGCCTGTACAAGGATTTGACCTTCTCAGAAGTCTGCCCAGGTGAAGTGGATTTTGAGCTGAGACCTGCAGTATAAATGAAGAGGGGAGTGAGGAATGTTCTAGGCAGAAGGAACTACACGTAAAAAGGTCTGTGGTGAGAGGGACCATGGTGACAATAAAAGGCCTAAAAGAAAGCCACTGTGGCTGTGGCTAAGAAAGCCAAGCACGGTAACTTGTGAAAGAAGATAGGAGAAGTAGACATGGGCCAGAGCCAGATCTTACCTTAAGGATTTTTATTTTTATCCTAAGATTTGTGGGAAACCATTGAAGAGTTTTAAGTAGATTGTTTCTCTAGTGCAGGGGTCCTCAAACTTTTTAAACAGGGGGCCAGTTCACTGTCCCTCAGACCGTTGGAGGGCTGGACTATAGTTTAAAAAAAACTGTGAACAAATTCCTATGCACACTGCACATATCTTATTTTGAAGTAAAAAAACAAAACGGGAACAAATACAATATTTGTATTTGCATGTGGCCTGCAGGCCGTAGTTTGAGGACCCCTGCTGTAGTGCATTGAAGAGTATCAAATAGTAGTCATACTAAAACCCATTGAAGAGTTTTAAGTAGATTGTTTCTCTAGTGCATCGAAGAGTATCAAATAGTAGTCATACTAAAATATTTTTCTCTGCTGCCATTTTCCCCCTTTTGTCTTTCATTTATTGTTGTCTTCTATAAAGAAAATAGACTATATATGGATGTATTATATGATAAAAAATTTACTAATTCATTATAAAAAAATAAAAGTCTCAGGAGAACAGAGGACCTGCTACCTACTATGTTCTTGATGATTAAAGTTGTTAATTTTGTTCACATGTGTTTCCTACAGGTAGGAAACTCAGGAAGTCCGGGACTTTTGTGCAGAATGACAATAATATACTGATTCATTTCTGCTTGAGTAGCATTTACTGTAAATGTAAATTATTTTTTCCCTCCCCTCATTTGTATTGTAAAAGAAACTTTTCTTTTTCACATTTTTAAGTACACTTTTTCTATTAGCTGTAAGATCTTGAATTGCATTTAACAGATATTTATGGAGTACTTACATGTGCAAGGCACTGAGATGGCAAAGTCACCTTTTTCAAATTTTAAACTTAATCTGTTGAAGGTAAATGTAAATGTTCTTTTCATGATCTGTAAATATTTTCTCCACCAGATCAATAAGTCAGAGAAGCCAGAAAGCTGTGATAATGTGAAGGTGGTTGTGAGGTGCCGACCCCTCAATGAGAGAGAGAAATCCATGTGCTACAGACAGGCTGTCAGTGTGGATGAGATGAGGGGAACTATCACTGTACATAAGACCGATTCTTCCAATGAACCTCCAAAGACATTTACTTTTGATACAGTTTTTGGACCAGAGAGTAAACAACTTGATGTTTATAACTTAACTGCAAGGCCTATTATTGATTCTGTTCTTGAAGGCTACAATGGTGAGTACTTTATATAGTTCACTTTTTTAAAAAACAACTTTATTTTGGTATTATTAGTAACCCATAAATTCACTTATTGCAATTATAGTTTGACGTGAACACATACAGTTGTGAAACTAGCACACAATTCAATTTATCACCCCCAAAAGTTCCTTTATGTCCATTTACAGTCCCACCCCCAGGTAGCAATTGACTTGCTTTCTATTTATGGTTTCACCTTTACTCAGAATGTCATATAAATCAAACCCTGCACTATCATCTTTCTTATCTGTTTTCTTTTATTTGGCATACTTTTTTTGAGGGTCATTCATGTTGTAGCATCTATCAGTAGTTTGGCTCTTTTTTATTGCAGAATATATCACCTTTTATGATCTTCGATGGAAATCTGGATTCCAATTTTTTGGCTATTATATAAAATGCTGCTATGAGCATTCCTTTTAAGGCTTTGTACAGATTCATTTTAAGGTTTTTCTTGGGTAGATACCTAGGAGTGGAATTGCTGGGTCGTATGGTTAATGTATATTTATTTTATTTTTATGAAGTCTGTATTACAATTAATTGGGAGAGTAGTAACAACTTGTTTGGCCAATTTTTTCCCATTAAAATTTTTTTATTTTTCAATTACAGTTGACATACATTATTATGTTAGCTTCAGGTGTGCACCCAATGATTAGACATTACATAACTTACTAAGTGATCACCCTCATAAATTTAGTACCCATTGACACCATACATAGTTATTAGAATATTAATTGACTGTATTCCCTGTGCTGTATTTTACATACCCGTGACTATTCTGTAACAACCAATTTGTACTTCTTAATCCCTTTTTTCACCTATCCCCTTAACCCCCTGCCCATCTGGCAACTATCAAAATGTTCTCTGTGCGTCTGTTTACTTCTCTGTGAGTATCAGTGAGTCTGTTTCAGTTCTGCTTGTTTGTTTGTTCTTCAGATCAGTTAGTGTATCCTTCATTTCTTTTTTTTTTTTAAATATTTTTATTGATTTCAGAGAAGAAGGGAGAGGGAGAGAGAGATAGAAACATCAATGATGAGAGAGAATCATTGATGGGCCGCCTTCTGCACACCCTACACTGGGGATCGAGCCCACAACCCGGGCATGTGCCCTGACGGGATCGAACTGTGACCTCCTGGTTCATAGGTCGATGCTCAACCAAGTGCCATAAAAGCAGAGCCTGAAGAAAGTAGGAATCTACCCACGTGGATAGCTGAGAGAAGTACATTCTAAGCAGAGGAACAAACAAGCACAAAGCCCCATAAGCAGAAATGTGCTTGGTGTGTTCCAGGAATGAGAAGAGGCCCGAGGAGTTAGCATCAAGTGAACAAACCCAAGTGTGTTAGACAAGGTCAGAGCGGTAAATGGGCAGAGCAGCTCATGTGGGTATTGTAGGCCGGAGAAAGGACCTTGGCTCTTCCTTCCCTGTGACTGAGATTCTCCTATGTTTTTATCTACAAGTTGTAAACATTTTAGGTCTTACATTTAGGTCTGTCATCCATTTTGAGTTTTTATATATGATGTGAAGTAAGAGTTTGGTTCTTTCCCTATTTTTTTCCTTCTTGCCTGTGGATATCCAGTTGTTCCAGCACCGTTTGTTGAAAAGGCCATCCTTTCTTTTGGAACTAACTTGGTTCTTTTGGTAAAAATGAATGGACCACAAATGTGTGGGCTTATGTTGGATTGTCTATTCTATTCCACGTATATCCTGTTTTGATTTCTGCAGCTTTATAATGTTTTGAAATTAGGTAATATATGATCTCTAACTTTATTCTTTTTCAAAATTATTGTGTGTTTTTTCTGGTGTCCTTTGCATTTTCATATAAATTTTAAGATCACCTTGTCAATTTCTACCAAAGTAACCTGGGATTTTGATGAATTGTTATTCTGACAATGTTGGGGTCTTCTGGTCCAGGAACATGATATATTTGTCCATTTATTATATCTTGTTTAATTTCTTATATCAGTATTTTTATAGTTTTCATAAATTTGTTTTTAATTATTTTTTGATACTTTTGTGAATAGAACTGTTCTTATAATTTCATTTTTGGAATTATGCATTGAGAATGTATAGAAATGCACTTGATTATTTTAGTAGGGTTTTTTTTATTGAGATAACAATTCAAATAACATAAAATTTACTACTTTAACCACTTTACAGTGTACAAGTCAGGTTTTCAGCACTTCATAGTGTTGTGCAACTGTTACCATTATCAGTTTCCAGAACATTTCCATTACTCCCCAAAAGAAACTTTTATCCGTATTAGTAGTTACATCTAATTCTGCTCTCTCCTACTCTGCAACAACTTATTACTTTCTGTGTGTATGAGTTTGCCTGTTCTGGGCATTTCATATAAATAGAATCAGACACTACATAGTCTTCTGTGTCTGACTCCTTAGCATGTTTTCAGTGTTCATCCTTATTGTATGTATCAGTACTTCATTCTTTTTATGGCAAAATAATATTCCATTGTATGGATATAGTATATTTTGTGTATTCATTTATCAGTTGATGAACAATTTTCATTTTTTGGCTATTATGAAGAATATTACTATGAACATTCTTGTACAAGTTTTTGTGTGAACATGTTTTCAGTTCTTTTATGTATATGTTACCTGGAGTGGAATTGCTGGGTCAAAAAGTTAACTGCCAGACTTTTCCATAGTGGCTGCACCATTTGTATACCCACCAACAATGTATGAGGTTCCTAATTTCTCCACATCTTTGACAAAATTTGTTATTTGTCTTTTTTATTATAGCCATGCTAATCTTATGAAGTGGTATCTCATTGTATTTTGCAGTTTATTTTTTAAAAACTGTTGTATACTGCAACCTTTTTTTTAATTTATATTCATTATAATCACCAGTTCATTCTGTACATCAGATTATTTATTCACTTGATTCTTAGATTCACTTGTTGATAGATGCATGTTTGTTGTTCACAATTTGTATCTTTACCTTTTTCTTCTTCCTCTTCTTAAAGGATACCTTTCAGCATTTCGTATAATACTGGTTTAGTGGTGATGAACTCCTTTAGCTTTTCCTTATCTGTGAAGCTCTTTATCTGACCTTCAATTCTGAATGATAGCTTTGCTGGATAAAGTAATCTTGGTTGTAGGTTCTTGGTATTCATCACTTTGAATATTTCTTGCCATTCCCTTCTGGCCTGCCAAGTTTCTGTTGAGAAATCAGCTGACAGTCGTATGGGTATTCCCTTGTAGGTAATTGAGTCTCTTTCTCTTGCTGCTTTTAAGATTCTCTCTTTGTCTTTTGCTCTTGGCATTTTAATTATGATGTGTCTTGGTGTGGTCCTCTTTGGATTCCTTTTGTTTGGGGTTCTCTGCGCTTCTTGGACCTGTAAGTCCATTTCTTTCACCAGGTGGGGGAAGTTTTCTGCCATTATTTCTTCAAATAGGTTTTCAATATCTTGCTGTCTCTCATCTTCTGGCACCCCTATTATTCTGATGTTGGTACGCTTGAAGCTGTCCCAGAGGCTCCTTACACTATCTTCGTATTTTCGGATTCTTTTTTCATTTTGCTTTTCCGGTTGGGTGTTTTTTGCTTCTTCGCATTTCAAATCTTTGGCTTGATTCTTGCGCTCCTCTGGTCTGCTATTGGGTGTCTGTATAATATTCTTTATTTCAGTCCGTGTATGCTTAATTTCTAGTTGGTTCTTTATCATAGCATCGAGGGTCTCATTAGTTTTCGTGACTCTCTCCTCAAGTTTATTGACAGCTTCTAGCACATTTTTGCAAGCCCTCAAAATTGCGATTTTTAGCTCTATATCCTCCATTTCTGTCATGTTTTTTTGTCTCCGCATTTTTTATGCTTTCTTGGTGCACCCCCTAGTGGTCTTTGTGCGCAGTCTTGTTCTAGTTGAGCCTTGATTGTTGTAGTTAATACTAGAGGGATTTGACCACCAGGCCGACTGGCTGTGTGAATCAGCTGTGTCTGCCGCGGAAAACTTCTGTCCTCTGGGGAGGTGCTAATCTAGCCTTTGCCTGAGGCTATCCGGCAAATGGCTCTGCGCAGGGCTTGGGCGGGGCGGGCTCAACAGGGCGGGCGGAGGGAGCCGTTATGGTGCCCTCAGTCCTGTTCCCAGAGGCTCTGCTTCTCAGAACCCCCGGAACCGCTGCAAACCTCGGAGGGAAAGCTGCCTTCCAACTGATGCCAGACACTCCCGCTTCTCCCGTTTGGGTCCGAGTCCCCAGCGATTCGCCCGTATCTGGAGCTCAGAGTCTGAGACTCCCCCCTGACCGAAAACGACAACCGCGCTCTCAGCCACCAGCCCGCTTTGCGCGCGCACCTCCGCACCTGAGTTTTTTCCACACTGCGCCTCCTCTGAGCCTCGGTGTGCTGTTATTTTTCCTTCTAGTTGAAGAGTCTCTCCTCAGCCAGCCTTCCTGTGGTTCTGGGTGATGTCCGTTCCGTCTTTTAGTTGTATTTTTGAAGTGGTTGTTTGCGGCAGCAGTCTCCGGTGTTTACCTCTGTATACTGCAACCTTGCTAAACTTATTATTTCTAGTAGACTATCATTACTATTATTATTATTATTATTATTATTATTATATTTATGTAAATTCCTTAGGATATTCTACAGACACAAGAGCATGTTGTTTGCAATTAAAGATAGTTCAACCAATTTCTTTCTTTCCTATTCTTTTTTTTTAAGTATATTTTATTGATTTTTTACAGAGAGGAAGGGAGAGGAATAGAGAGTTAGAAATATCGATCAGAGAGAAATATTGATGAGAGAGAAACATCGATCAGCTGCCTCCTGCATACCTCCCACTGGGGATGTGCCCGCAACCAAGGTACATGCCCTTGACTGGAATCGAACCCGGGATCCTTCAGTCCACAGGCCGATGTTCTATCCACTGAGCCAAACCAGTCACGGCTCTTTCCTATTATTACTTGAATTGCACTGTAGTTTCATAATTTCTTTCTGTTACCTGAATTGCACTGGCTAGAACCTACAGTACAATGTAGTAGTGGTGATAGTGGACATTTTGTCTTGTTCCTGATCTTAGAGAGAAAGCATTCATTGTTTTACCAGTAAATATGATGTTATTTGTAGATTTTTTCTTTCTTTTTTGTTTTGTTTTAGCGTCTAAAGCAGTGGTTCTCAACCTGTGGGTCGCGACCCCTTTGGCGGTCGAACGACCCTTTCACAGGGGTCGCCTAAGACCATCCTGCATATCAGATATTTACATTACGATTCATAACAGTAGCAACATTACAGTTAAGAAGTAGCAACGAAAATAATTTTATGGTTGGGTCACTACATGAGGAACTGTATTTAAAGGGCCATAAGGTTGAGAACCACTAGTCTAAAGTTTTACATAGGTCTCCTTTTTCCCCAGTTGACGCTCCCCCTCCTCCCCCCCAGTCATTCCCACCCAGGGCAAGCCCCCACTGTCCCAGTGTCTGTGTTTATTGGTTATGCTACTATGCATGCATACAAGTCCTTTGATTGTTCTCTAACACCCCCCACCACCACCACCATTTGTCTCTGGATCTATTCTTTTTTTTTTTTTTTTATTTTTTTTTTTTGTTTTTTTCCAGAGAGGGATAGAGAGTTAGAAACATCGATGAGAGAGAAACATTGATCAGCTGCCTCCTGCACACCCCCTACTGGGGATGTGCCCGCAACCAAGGTACATGCCCTTGACCGGAATCGAACCTGGGACCCCTCAGTCCCCAGGCCGACGCTCTATCCAGTGTGCCAAACCGGCCAGGGCTGGATCTATTCTTGTTCATCAAATTATGTTGATCATTATATTCCACATGTGTTATTTATCTTTCTCTGACTGGCTTATTTCTATTTGTAGATTTTTCATAGACATCCTTTATCAGATTGAGGATGTTTCCCTCTGTTCTTAGTTTGCTGAGAGTTTTTTCAGGAATGTATATTTCAGTGATGGCGAACCTTTTGAGCTTGGCTTGTCAGCATTTTGAAAAACCCTAACTTAACTCTGGTGCCGTGTCACATATAGAAATTTTTTTATATTTGCAATCATAGTAAAACAAAGACTTGTATTTTTGATATTTATTTTATATATTTAAATGCCATTTAACACAGAAAAATCAACCAAAAAAATGAGTTTGCGTGTCACCTCTGACACGCGTGTTATAGGTTCGCCATCCCTGGTATATTTTGTCAAATGCAATTTTTTCTGCACTTATTTAAATGATTTTTTTAAAAAGTCTGTTAACATGGTCAATTGCATTGATTGATTTTAAAATATGAAACCAGCCATGCCACCTGGTCATAGCGTATTATCCTTTTGTATATTGTTAGATTTGATTCCCTAAAATTTTGTTTACATTTTTTGCATCTCTGTTCATGAGGAACATAAGTGTATAGTTTTCCTGTAATGTCTTTATAGGGTTTTTTTGTTTTTGTTTTTTTTTTAATTAAATCTTTATTGTTCAGATTATTACATTGGTTCCTCTTTTTTCCCACCATAACTCCCCTCCACCCAGTTCCCACCCCACCCTTCGCCCTCTGTCCTCATCCATAGGTGCATGATTATTGTCCAATCTCTTCCCGCACCCCCCACACCCTTTCCCCCCCACCCCCAGAATAGTCAGTCCATTCCCTTTCTATGTCCCTGATTCTATTATAATCACCAGTTTATTCTGTTCATCAGATTATTTATTCACTTGATTTTTAGATTCACTTGTTGATAGATGTGTATTTGTTGTTCATAATTTGTATCTTTACCTTTTTCTTCTTCTTCCTCTTCTTAAAGGATACCTTTCAGCATTTCATATAATACTGGTTTGGTGGTGATGAACTCCTTTAGCTTTTTCTTATCTGTGAAGCTCTTTATCTGACCTTCAATTCTGAATGATAGCTTTGCTGGATAAAGTAATCTTGGTTTTAGGTTCTTGGTATTCATCACTTTGAATATTTCTTGCCACTCTATAGGGTTTTGTTATCAGGATAGTTCTAATTTCATAGAATGAGTTGGGAAATATTCCCTCCTTTTTAATTATCTGAAAAAAATTGGTCTAGAGCAGTGGTTCTCAACTTTGGCTGCACATTAGAATCACCTGGAAATCTTTTTAAAATCCTGATTTGTGGGCCTCATCCTCCGGAAATTCTGTTTCTTTGTTACTAATGTTGTGGTCCCACCCCATTATAAAGAAACAAAATTTCTGGAGGATGAGGCCCACAAATCAGGATTTTAAAAAGATTCCCAGGTGATTCTAATGTGCAGCCAAAGTTGAGAACCACTGGTCTAGAGTTAGTATTATATCTTCCCTAAGAATTCACCAGTTAAATTGACTGGGCCTGGAGTTTTTGTTTGTTTGTTTTGTGGGGTTTTATTTTGGTGAGAAGGCTTTTAACTACAGGTTCATTTTCTTTAATAGATACATTTAATATGATTATATGGGTAGGTGTAAATCTATCATCTTGCTATTTATTTTTGTCCCATTTGTTCTTTGTTCACCTTTTCCTCTTTTTATGCCTTCTTTTGGATTAATGAATTATGTTTATTATTCCATCAATACATCTTTGTTGTATTTTAGTGTTTGCTTTAACGTTCATAGTATAAATATTTAATATATCACAGTTTATCTTCAAGTGATATGCAAGTTTATGTATAATATGAACATTTTACACTATACTCCCATTTCTGTCCTCCCAGGCTTTGTGCTATTGTTGTCATATATTTTACTTCTACATGTTATAAACTCCAAACCACATTGTTATTACATTTGTTTAAATCATCAGTTACCTTTTAAAGAGATTTAAATAATGAGAGAAAAATCTTACATATTTATTTAAGCCATGTAGTTACCATTTCTGGTACTCTTTTTTGCTTTATGTAGATTCACATTTCCATCTAGTATCACTTTCCTTCTGCATTGTAGAACTTCCTTTAACATTTCTTAGAGGGGAGGTCTACTGGTGATGAATTCTTCTGCATTTATAGTCTAAAAAAGTATTCATTTTGTTTTTGTTTTTGAAAGTATTTTCAGAGTATAGTATAGATTCTTAGTTTCTTCTTCTTTTTTTTTTAAAGTATATTTTATTGATTTTTTACAGAGAGGAAGGGAGAGAGATAGAGAGTTAGAAACATCGATGACAGAGAAACATCGATCAGCTGCCTCCTGCACATCTCCTACTGGGGATGTGCCCGCAACCCAGGTACATGTCCTTGACCGGAATCGAACCTGGGACCTCTCAGTCCGCAGGCCGACGCTCTATCCACTGAGCCAAACCGGTTTCAGCTTAGTTTCTTCTTTTAATACTTTAACGATATTACTATAGTCTTCTCATTCGTATTTTTTTTATGACCAGAAATCTACTTTCATTCTTATCTTGGTTCTTCTATATATAATGTCTTTCTTTTCTCTGATTGTTTTGACATTTTCTTCTTAGAGCAATTGATTATGATGTGTCTTGATATGTTTTTCCTTTTTTTTTTTTTTTGGTATGTTTTTCTTCATGCTTCTGTGCTTACAGTTCATTAAGTTCCTTGGACTTGTGGGATTGTAGTTTTCATCAAATTTGGAGAAATTGAAGGCATTATTTCTTAAAGCATTTTTTCTCTCCCCTCTCTCTACTATTTGGGGGACTACACCAATGTATATATTAGACTACTTGAAATTGTCCCACAACTTACTGGTTTTTTTCAAAAATTTTTCTCTTTCTTTATGATGGGTTTTTTGTATGTTTTCTTTTGCAATGTCTGCTCTACCATTAACCCTGTCTATTGTATTTTTCATCTCACACATTGTAGATTTCATCTCTCGAGGTTTGATTTTGATCTTGTTATGTCTTCCATCCAAGTTCTTCCAAAGTTTCCCCTGAACTTTTTAACATACAGAATACAGTTTTTATAACAGTTTTAATGTCCTTGTCTGCTAATTCTAACATTTGTGTCAGTTCTGAGTTGGTTTTGATTGTTGATTGATTTCTTAATTATGAGTCATATATTTTTGCTTTTTTGCAAGCTTGGCAGTTTTTTTGTTTGATGCTAGACTGTGAATTTTACCTTGGGTCTTAGATATTTTTTCATTTCTATGAATATTTATGAGCTTTGTTCTGGGATGCAGTTACTTTAGGATTATGAAGAAAATAACTACCATTTACTTGTACCCTACCAGACGTCATGTTGGTCACTTGAAGTGTTTCATTTGGTCCTTACTATTAATGTAGAGTAGCTAAATTTTTATTCCCATTTTACCTTTGAGGAGACTATGTCTGGATAGAAACTTGCTTAAGGTCAAGTGGATAAAAAGTGGCAGATATGTGATTCACACTGAGGTCTTTCTGATCTAGAACCTGTATTCTTTTGCTGTAATTACACTATCTTTTCCAACTTAATGTCCACATTACGTAATTACTGTACACATTACAAGAAATGTTTTTAAATGTAAGATTTTACATTTATGGTTTGGAGTTCTTTTTATTAATAATTAGAAATATCTCACTGACTCTAGTACTTTAATAGTGCTTTGCTCATGAGGCATAGAGTACACATATTGTAATTGTCAATAAAAGTGAAATTTGTACTAGAATTCAGGGAAGAAATTGCATCACAGTGTCAAAGGAATTAATTTTAAGAGCTATTGTTCTACAGACTTATACTCTAAAAAAACATTGATTCTCTTTATTTTCAGGGACTATTTTTGCATATGGACAAACTGGAACAGGCAAAACTTTTACTATGGAAGGTGTTCGAGCTGTTCCTGAACTGAGAGGAATCATTCCAAATTCATTTGCTCATATATTTGGTCATATTGCAAAAGCAGAGGGTGATACAAGGTAAAATAATTCTTTTATTTTTCCAATATTAAGAAGTACAAACTTAAGAGAGGCATATAGGTACAAATTTCATAAACACACTTTAAAACTGTTCTTATAAATATTTCACTGTTTTATGTTTTTAAAGTGATGTTTTATTGATAGGTTTTTGGTTCGAGTGTCTTATTTGGAAATATATAATGAAGAGGTTCGTGACCTCTTGGGCAAGGATCAGACACAGAGGTTAGAGGTAAGGATAATTGAAATTGGAATACTTTCCAAAGACCAATAATAGCTTCACCTTATCTATGCCTACCTCTATAGCCAGATATCCTACACTCTCGCCACCCTATCCTACTCCCACCCCTGTCCTGCTTCCTACTCTTTCCAGCCTACTTTATTCTTATTTCAGAATCCTTACATTTATTCTTTTCCTCCTACCCCAACCCAGATTGGCTACTTCCTGTTTCTTTAAGTCTTAGCTTAAACATCATCTTAGGGAAACTTATTCTGTCCCTGCTTCACCAGCATAAGTCTCTCTAATGTATTCTTATATTGTCTTATATTTTTTAATTCATGGCATTATCACAATGGAAATAAAATAATTTTTGTGTGTAATTATTTGTATGTTCTCCCTATAGATTTTCACTTCTACAAGTGTAGAGACTGTCTACCTTGTTTATCATGTATACTCAATATCAAGTAGTGTCTCACAGATGTTTAATAAATAATTGTGTTAAATAATACATTTATTTACACATTATTTATATGTAGTGGATGTTCAGTGTTCAATAAATAACACATAGATGTTCAATGAATAGATGTGAAAGAATTATGGATATATGTGTTAAGTCTTATGATTATTTTTCTTAGGTTAAAGAAAGACCTGATGTGGGAGTTTATATCAAAGATTTATCAGCTTATGTGGTAAATAATGCTGATGATATGGACAGAATTATGACACTGGGCCACAAAAATCGTAAGTGTAATTCATAATTTTGATTAAACATTTATGTGTTGAGTAGGCTGGTTTAGAAGCAAAAACTGGTGTGACATTTTGTTCCACAAAGACTGGATTTTTAAGTTTCTTGAAAATCCTTTCTCTTTGATTATTTACTAGGTAGAGAGCACATATGGATGAAAGATATCACAGATTACTTTCTGTGCTGACCGAAATTTTGTTTCTTAGTACTAGTGCTATATCTTATATAGCTGTTTATTTGTTAGCTACAGTAATATTTGGTAACATTTATTGAGCACTTACAATGTAGGAAGTGCTTGTTCTAAGTGATTTATAAGAATGGTCTCTTTTAATCTTCACAGTAGACTATGACAGTATTAAATTCCTATTTTATGATTGAGGAAACCAAGACTTACTTTAAATAGCTTGTCCAAGGTTATATGCTACTTAATAAGTGGCAGAATGAATATCTTAATCTAACCATGAATCAGTATAACCAGGCATTATACTGCCACCCTTTTATTGACAGGAAAAGCAAAACAAAATTAAAGTGGTATTTTAAAAATGTATATTTTTATTGATTTCAGAGAGGAAGGGAGTGGGAGAGAGAGATAGAAACATCAAAGATGAGAGAGAATCATTGATCAGCTACCTCCTGCATGCCCCACACTGGGGATCGGGCCCAACTCTGGCATATGTTCTCACCAGAAATCGAACCGAAAAGCAAGCAAAAGGGTGTTTTTTTTTTTTTTTTTTTTTTTTTAGTAATTGTTTCAGGTTTTGTCTAAATAATAAAGAACTTCAGCAATATTTAATACACAGATGCCCCAGGTCTCATACTAGTGATGTTGCTAATAGCAATTAGAGATTAGAGATGAAAGATTAGAACATAGGAAGTAAACATGTTTCAAAGTTTTTTATGACTAGACTAAAAATCAAGGAAATTAAACAAATATTTAAAAAATCAATTGCAGCCCAGCCAGCATGGCTCAGTGGTTGAATGTCAACCTATGAACCAGGAGGTCACGGTTGATTCCCGCTCAGGGCACATGCCTGGATTGCAGGCTCGATCTCCAGTGTGGGGTGTACAGGGGACAGCCGATCAATGATTCTCTCCCATCATTGATGTTTCTGATTTTCTCTCCCTCTCCCTTATTCTCTGAAATCAATAAAAACATATTTAAAAAATCAATTGCATTCTTAAAAACCAAGTCATAGAAAAAGACCAAATTTTAACAGGAAAATGAGCAAAAGATATGTACAAATATGTTATTCACCGAACTGTACACAGCAATAAGCATGTGAAAGGATGTTAATATTTGGTAACATTTATTGAGCACTTACTTTGTAGCAGCTTCACAAATAATTAGGAAAATGCATGTTAAAACAACAGTGGGAGATATTTTACCCATCAGTTTGGATGAAGGGATATACAGGTTGGTGAGGCTGTACTGGTGATAAGATTATAAAATAGTACGGTTTTTTGAAAGGCAGTATAACAGTAACTGTTGAAATTTAAAAAATGCATTTCTTTTGACATAGTGTTTCTAATTCTAGAAAAATATATTTAAGTATAACAAATTTCTATTGAGACATTATTTGTGATAAAAAGTTTGACACAATCTAAATAACTATAAACAAAACATTGGTTATATAAATTATGGTACAAAAATACTGTAGACTATAATGAAGCTCTGAGAAAAATCACAATGAGTTTAATCTCCTTGTAGAGACCCGGAATATTTTCAAGATATATGTATAATTAAGTGAACAGCAAATTTCAGAATAGTATTACTACATCATCCCATTAATATATTTGTAAAAAAGCCAAGTTATTAAACTATGTGTTTGGATAGTGTGTGTGTGTATGTGTGTGTGTCTGTATGTTCACATGTGTGCATGTAAAATAGAAATGAAAGGACATTTAATAGGGGTTACTTTTAGGAAAGGGGAAGTAAGATTGGAAAAAAGGGATGTTGGGAGCTTTCATTGCTTTTTAAAAATATACTTTAAAATTTTTTGTCCCAGGAATATGTTCATGTACTGCTTATTTAATTTTTAAAATTTTTAACATAAGATTTCATTTATAGTAGTGACCAAAAGCTCCCATTAAGTACCTGAGAATTAGTTTAATAAAATGAAATAAAGATAAAGGGATTTGAAAACCTAAGATAGCAGAGAGGAAAATACTCTTAATAAATAGAGTCCGAGAATTGAATATTTAGTACAAATATTTAGCACAAAAGTTCCAACATAAAAATATAAACTTTATCATATTGAAATATAGTAAAATAACTATCAAGAGGGAAATAGCAGAAGAGGAATATGGGACAATAAAAGACGCTATTATAAATAGATAAAAGAATCAATACAAATATAAACTTAGTTCCATTTTTTACAGATGGTCATAGTATAGAAATAGTTAATTTTATACTTAAGAAAATAAGTCAGTCATCTCACAAACAGCCTGCCTAGCAACTAAAATGCAAATTTAAATTATTCCAGTATATTTACATGTGGGCATCCTTGTAAATTGGTTAATATTTTTGTAGAGCAGTGTTTTCAGCCTTTACACCAAATTCCTTTTCTTAAAAATTATATTTTTGAATAGGTAATTCATACATATAGTGTAAAATTCAGAAGGCACAGAAGTATCCGTTGAAAAACAAGTCTCTCTCCTACCCTTGTGTCTCAGTCACCTGGTTCCCATTCCTGGTGGCAACTTCTGTTAGTTTCTAATGTACCCTTTCTGATGTAGTCTGTGTGTTTTTAAAGAGAGCTTGTCCTCTTACTTTATTCACTTAACAATATTATCTTAGAGATCATTTCACATTAACACATACTTATCCTATATAATAAAAGGCTAATATGGAAATTGTCCCCTCAACTGGGAGTTTGACCAGGGGGCGGGGCCAGGCCTGCCAACCGTCCGAGGCCCCTCCCCCGGCCAGCCCAGCCCAATTGGCCCCAATGGGGCAGGCCAGCTGGACCCCACCCATTCACCAATTCGTGCATTGGGGCTCTAGTACATATATAAGCATTTTAAAAGAATGATGTAGTATTTCATTGCATGAATCTACATAATTTAATCTTTTATTGATGGACTTTTGGGTTGTTTTCAATCTTTTGTTCTGAGCAATATTCTTACATATACATGAGTTTATACACATGCAGGCATATTTATAGGATACATTTTTTCATATCCTCTTGAAAAGCATAAAAACATATTTTTTATTCCAAATAAATATTTGATAAAAATTAAAGCTATGGAAATGTTTTTTGTTTTATTTCCATTATGACATGTCAATGTTTGGAGCATTGAGTCTACTTCTCTGCTGCAAGCTCTTCTCTCCCAGGGATTGTAAAGCTCAACATAGGTCACATTTAACAGCATGTCTGTTGCATTTCTTGGTTTTTATAACCAGATATGCAGAAAAATTACAATCATAAATAGCTTGTTTTACTTATATTGCAAAAACAATAGGTATTAATAAGATTTTTTCAAATTACATGTTCTCTCTTCATCCAAATTGGAAAATACTGCTATAGTGTGATTTGATATCACATAGCTATAAAACGATTTCTACTCTTTGACCTGGTAATTCCAGTTTGGAAAATACATCCCATGGAAATAATACTAAAGAGAGAGAGAGGTATCTGCTCAGAGATGCTCATTTTGTGTTCCTTATGAGGACCTAAAGTGGGAAACCATCCCAAATACTAGTATCTCTCAATAAGGGAACAGCAAAATCAAGGTTTAATAGTTCTCTATATTTTTTGAAGAAATTCATAATTTGATTTAAAAGAAAATAGAAAAATGTAGTATGAAGTCACAAGTCTTTGCTTTTTTTTCCCCCTAATTTTTTCTTTACCTTCTTTTGACAGGCTTTACTTTTTCTTTTTTTCAATTACAGTTTACTTTCAGTATTATATATTGGTTTCCAGTTGTACAGCGTAGTGGTTAGACAATCATATACTTTACATAGTTCTCCCCTTTGCCCCCCCCCCATATTTCCAGTACCCAACTGGCACATACATAGTTATCACAATATTATTGACTATATTCCCTATGCTGTACATCCCTGTGACTATTTTGTAACTAGCAATTTGTATTTAATTCCTTTACATCTTTCTCCCAGTTTCCCACTCCCCTCCCTCTAGCAGCCACCAGTCTGCTCTCTGTATCTGAGCCACTTTCAATTTTGTTTGTTCATTTATTTTGTTCTTTAGATTCCACATATAAGTGAAATCATATGATATTTGTCTTTCGCTGACTGACTTGTTTAGGCTTTACTTTTCTTTCTTTTTAAAAAAGATACATTTTTATTGATTTCAGAGAGGAAGGGAGAGGGATAGACAGAGAGAGAGAAACACAAATGATGAGAGAGAACCATTGATCGGCTGCCTCTTGCATGTCCCACACTGGAGATCGAACCCGCAACCCGAGCATGTGTCCTGACTGGGAATCCAACTGTGACATCCTGGTTCATAGGTTGACACTCAACCACTGAGCCACGCAGGCTGGGCTAGGCTTTCGTTTTCTGTATTAGTGCAATTTACATTCCAGTTATCTGACTTCAGTACAGCCATGTTAATAATTAATGTTTATATTTTAATGTTTAAATTCTAAAATCAAAGCTTGTGTGGATAAATTCTGCATGAATATATAGTAGGAAGATAATTTTGAAATTGGGTAAAATGCTTTTAAAATACTTATGAATTTAAGGAAAAAAATAATACGTGTATTATAAAAAACAAAACACCTTTTTCTTTGTTTACAGAATATATTCATGTAAAATATTTATACCCACACAATACTTGGAATGGATGCTTTTGTTTTATAGAAGAGGGATTATACTATATATTCCTCTCTTTTTGTTTCCCAGCCATATGTTATGGGTATCTTTCCATGTTATACCTTTTTTTTAAAAAAAAATATTTTTATTGATTTCAGAGAGGAAGGGAGAGGGAAAGAGACATAGAAACATCAATAATGAGAGAGAATCATTAATTGGCTGCCTCCTACATGCCCCCTACTAGGGATCAAGTCCACAATGTAGGCATGTGCCCTTGACCAGAATCGAACCCGGGACCCTTTGGTCCGCAGGCCGATGCTCTTTCCACTGAGCCAAACTGGCTAAGGCTACCTTATTTTTTTAACTTCATATTATGACTAGTCTGTAATGGATTAACCACTGTCCTGTGGTTGTTTCTAATCTCTTGCTGTTGTGAAATGCTGCGCCAAATATCCTGGCACCATCTAATGCATGTATACAAGTATTTCTGTGATTTAGATTCGCAGAACATAATTTTTTTTAGAGATAGCTGAAACGGCAATATTTTTTGAATTATTTACCATGTATTTTTATGTAAATTAGTTATTTTTGTAGCCAGTAATACTTCGGGTTAAAATTAATTACTTTGTCCTTGCCGAAACCGGTTTGGCTCAGTGGATAGAGCGTCGGCCTGTGGACTGAAAGGTCCCAGGTTTGATTCCGGTCAGGGGCATGTACCTTGGTTGCGGGCACATCTCCAGTGTGAGGTGTGCAGGAGGCAGCTGATCGATGCTTCTCTCTCATCGATGTTTCTAACTCTCTATCTCTCTCCCTTCCTCTCTGTAAAAAATTAATAAAATATATTTTTTAAAAAAATTACTTTGTCCTAAAATTACCTCTTTAGTATAAGAAATACTACAAATTATTTTGTTATCAACATAAATTGTCAGAAACTGCTAATAATGGCTAAACACATCTATGCTTTTATGGTTTAGCCAGGCTGTTTGATTTTTGGCTCTGGTAAAATTAAGTATTATAAACCATTCTGGATAGTTAATTTTTAAAGGTACTCCCTGTTATTATACCTTTTAAGAATTTCCATCCTTTATTCAAGGTTCTGTTGGTGCAACTAATATGAATGAGCATAGTTCCCGTTCCCATGCCATCTTTACAATTACCATAGAATGCAGTGAAAAAGGCGTTGATGGTAACATGCACGTCAGGATGGGGAAGCTCCATCTTGTAGATCTTGCTGTAAGTAATAGGCTACTACTTTAAAGAATAACTCTTGTAATTTTTTTAGTTTATAAATGAATAAAAATTCAAGTGAAAAGGTGTGATTTGTATATGATTTTTAAGTTGTTAACTTGTGTATGTGTTTTGTTTACTATGGAATATTTCGAACCTGTACAAAAGTAGATAGAATAGTGTAATGATCTTCCATGTAACCATCACCCACTTCAACAATTACTGGTTCATGGCCAGTCCTGTTTCATCTCTACCATTCCCCACTTCTCTTCCGGTATTATTCTGATGTGAATTCAAGATACAATATCAGATTCTTTTCCTGTTAAATTACTTTTTATTAAGCTTTAAAAACAATATTCTGTATTTTTTATTTTAGCTTTATTTCTGTGTCTGTTTATTGCTAGGGTTCAGAAAGACAGGCAAAAACTGGAGCTACTGGACAGCGCCTCAAGGAAGCTACAAAAATCAATCTTTCGCTTTCCACCCTTGGTAATGTAATTTCTGCCTTGGTTGATGGAAAAAGCACTCATGTGCCTTACCGTAATTCTAAATTGACTCGTCTTCTTCAGGATTCCTTAGGAGGAAATTCAAAGACCATGATGGTAAGACTTAATTGATGATATTATAGTTATCATCAGGCAACTTTTAGATTCCTGTTTATCCCTATAATAGATATGCATAACATTTTTTAAACTATTGATTTTTTTACTTTATTTGATTTTGTGGTTATTCTTTTTCTAGTATACCATGTATACAAGCCCATACTGTGTTACTTGGAAATACATGTGGTTATACTTACTCTCTTTCTTTTTTTAAATATATCTTATTGATTTCAGAGAAGAAGGGAGAGGGAAAGAGAGATAGAAACATCAATGATGAGAGAGAATCATTGAGTGGCTGCCTACTGCACATCCCCTACTGGGGATCAAGCCTGCAACCCAGGCATGTGCCCTGACAGGAATCGAATCTGGGACCCTTCAGTCCACAGGCTGACGTTCTATCCACTGAGCCAAACCAGCTAGGGTCTTACTCTCTTTTTCAAGAAGATGAGAGTAGAAGTATGCTTTAGAAATTATTTTAGTTATCTTCGTAATGGTATTAATTTTAACTGTATCAGGTGTTACAATGTTTTGTTTTGTATTCCTAATTCAACAGTGTGCAAATATTGGGCCAGCAGATTACAATTATGATGAAACTATTAGTACATTACGGTACGCTAACCGTGCTAAGAATATTAAAAATAAAGCTAGAATTAATGAAGATCCAAAGGATGCTTTACTTCGTCAATTTCAGAAAGAAATAGAAGAACTGAAAAAAAAGCTTGAGGAAGGTAACTTTTCCCCAAAATGTTGATCTTAATGTTGGCTAAAAATATGTTGCTTCACCACTAAGTGTACTAATAAAAACCACCTATTAAAAATTCTTTGCACCTCTAACATTGATATTTAAAGGAATATTTCTGCTTGCTCACTTGATATTAAGTAAGCTCAAGTAAATGTATATGTTTGTATATGTGATTTAAAAACTTTACTTAATTTAAACCTCTATCTTAATCCCAATGACCTTTTGTAGATTTGATGTGACCACTTATTAAATAATTAATTTTTATTTGTCTCTGTATAAGAGCAAATTCTACCATTTATTTATTTATTTATTTATTTATTTATTTATGTTCAGTAGTCAAGAGTCTTTATTAGACAGGAGGTGGGACTTCCATCTCAGAGGAATCTCAGCTCAGACGACACAGGAGGAACCGGGATGGGATGGGACAGGAGCAAGGGCGAAGCCAAGTGTTATCCCAGGGGCTCCGGGTGCAGTGGGCTGTGCGGGCTGGAGGCTGGGGTCTCCCCACTTCCATCCCCCTCAAAGGGAGGAGGCAGTAGAATTTAGCCTCATCTTTCAGTCAATCCAGGAAGGCTTCTTAGAGGAAACCCAGGCCAACTGGTGAAACAGGTTCTCCTTTTTGGTACAGGCAAGTAGGTGCCTGATTAAGGCCAGTTCCTTCCTTCCTGGGGTGTGGGGAGCTGTGCCCGGGAAAGGGTACAATGAGGGGCTGCCAGAAATCGGGAGTCTGACGCACAGCTGTGGGGGTCAGTCCTTTCCTGCCCATCTGGGGCTGGGAGCCAGCAGCTTGGAGGCCCCCACAGTTCACTTCTCCAAGGGCTTTAAAACCTTTCAAATCAGTCAGGTCAAGCCAAGGGTCAGAGAACTGGTGCGTCAGCAGTACAGATCTTGGGTAGACATTGGGAAGGACTTCCCAAGATAGAAATAAGCAAGATCATAGAATTTCATCGAGCCCAAGGTGCCCATCCATGCTCTCAGGCACTGTCCTTTTGGGCCCTTCCCGCCCATAGAGCGCCTGGGCCCTGGGTCCTGGGTGCCAGGGCTCAGCAGGCGCCTGGGCGGGGTCACCCACCCAGCCTCAGCGGAGCGGAGGTGAGGCGGGAAGAGCGCACCTCACCTCCCCAGCGACCGCCTCAGCCTCTGCCGCGGCTCTCTATACCATATATTTAGATGACTATGACCAGAGTTCCTTGTGATAGATATCAGTCACTGTTGTTTGAAGTACAGAAAGCTATCACCAAGTTTACTATAAGTAAAATTCACTGCGTAGTCTTCAAATAGCTTTCATACTTAAATTTGAACATGAGGTTCTCTTTTGTAAATTCTTTCCTAACAAGATAATATTAGAAGGTTAGCTAGTTTGAAGACCTTATTCATGCGGTTGAGAAATTTACCATCACTAAGTGCCCAGTGACTTCCTGTACCTTCATGCTAAGCACCGATTGGCATAGGGCTCCTTTGCATACCAGGTACACCAGAGGGCTTTGAAACTGCCTCTTTTCAGTCTGTGGGAAAACTGGTTAGATCAGATGTGAAATCAAGAGATGCCAACATCACAAATGTTTGGAGAAGGTGCTGATTCAGTACACTTGAGTAAGATTATTGAGGAAAAGCAGTTGTAATTGACGTGCCTCTTAGATAATGAAATTTGGTGTTTTAAGTGTGACCACTAGGTGGTATTTATAGTCAGTATATTTTAAAATTTTTAAATTTCTTAGATTTGTTAATGTTGAGTATACCTTTATTTTACTGACTTATCTTTTTTACATTTATTTATTGTGGTAAAATAGACATAACAAAATTTACCATTTTAACTATTTTTAAGTATATTAAATAAGTTCACATTGTTCTGCAACCATTACCATCATCCATCTCTAACTTTATAGTCATCCCAAAATGAAACTCTGTACCCAATAAACACTAACTCCCCATCACCCTTTCTCCCTCAGCACCTGGTAGCCACTATTTTACTTTCTATCTCTGAATTGACTATTCTAGGTACCTCATATAAGTAAAATCATACAATATGTGTCCTTTTGTGTCTGGCTTATTTTATTTAGCATGATATCCTCAAGGTTCATCCATATTGTAGCATGTGTCAGAATTTCCTTCCTTTTTAAGGCTGAATAATATTCTGTTGTATGTATATACCACATTTTTTAAAAAAAAAATGTTCTGATTTTTTTTTTAAAGGGAGAGGGAGAAACATTGATGTGAGAGAAACATTGATCAGTTGCCTTCTGTATGCACCCCAACCTGGGATCAAACCTGAAACCTGGGCATGTGCCCTGACTGGGAATCAAACTGGAGACCTTTTGGTGCATGGAAATATGCTCAACCATCTGAGCTTCATCGGCTAGGGCTATTCCACATTTTGTTTATTCATTTATTTGTCGATGGGCACTGGGTGGCTTCTGACTTTTGACTGTTGTGGATAATGCTATTATGAATGTGGGTATACAAATACCTGTTCAAGTCCTGATTTCAATTTTTTTGGGCATATACCCAGAATTGGAATTGCTGGATCATATGGAAATGCTAATTTTATTTTTAACACATTTCATTTTATTTATGCTCCTAGGACATTTGTTTTTGTAGGACAGTTGACAGAGTTTTATAATCTGGTTAATAGAATTGATCATAAGAATAAAAAGTAGGCAAAAATATTTAAAAATTACTTTTTTAACTTTTTATTTTGAAATAATTTTAGACTCATAGAAAACTTGCAAATATAGTGAGAGTTCCTATATACCCATCACCCACCTTCCCCTGATGTTAATATCCTATATAATAAAAGCCTAATATGCTAAGTGTCCAACTGCTCATTCGACCAGTCGCTATGACGTGCACTGACCACCAGGGAGCAGGCGCTCCAACCGGTAGGTTAGCTTGCTTCACACGTCCTAGAGCCCTCTCTTGGTTCCTCCCCAGCAGGCCAATCTCCCAGTCCCTCCCCGTCCTCTAAAATATTTCTTCTAATTAATTTCAATGTGCATGAATCCATCCACCTGGCCTCTAGTCTTACATAATCATAGAACAGTTAATGAAACAAGGTAATTTACATTGATACAAACTTAACTAATCTAAAGATCTTAAAAAATTTTTTAGGCCCTACCAGTAAAACAGTTTTATTTCATTTTAAAATAGTCATTTATGTGAAGATCTTATTTAAATTTTGACAGTTTTCCCTCTCATGCCCTTTTTCTCTAGTCCAGTATCTAATCTAGGATCACACTGTGCATTTAGTTGTCTTTTTAATTTCATCCAGTCTCCAGTTCCTCAGTCTCTTTTTGTCTTTCATGCTCTTAACACTTTAGAAAAGTACTGGTTATATATTTGTAAAATGTTCCTCAATTTGGGTTTGTCAGTAGTTCTCTGATAATTATTCTGCAAGATTTCTATACTATAAATCTACTACTTACTTTATTTTCTCCTTTATAACTAATATGCATCTGTGGGGAGCTACTTTGAGACTATACGAAGCTCCTGATTCTTATACTTTCTCCCACTGATTTTAGCATCCATCAAGGGTTCTTGCCTGAAACAGTAACTCTGTGGCATTTGGTCATTGGTGACTCTCTTTCCATCATTTCTTCTGATGTTTAGTGTTTGGAATTCTGTTGTATGGAAGAGCACTCCCTTCTGCTTCACTATTTATTCAGTTATTTATATGCTAGTGGCCCTGTGCACGAATCCATGCAAGAGTAGCTCGCTGCTGCTTGCCTCAGCTGGCTGCCCTGCCCACCGCTGCCCTCTGCCTGCTGCCTCGCCCTCCTGTAGCTCTCCATTGCTCTTAGCTCACTGCCCCACCCTCCTGCTGATTGGTCGTTACCATTTGGTAGTGACCATTTGCATATTACCTCTATTATATAGGATGTCAGTATGGATATTTGTGGATTATGATACAGTAATAATATATATTTTATTGCTCAAATTGTTCCAGCTTTGGCCATTAGGAACTCCTACAGAGTTGTTCCTATATCCTTCCAGTATGCTCCCATTCGTTTTTTTGTTTACTTAGCACTTCCTTATTTTCTGACACCACAGGTGTTTTGGGCTCATTTTGTATTTTCTCTATCCCAGCCTAAAAATCAGCTATTTCTCCCTGGTTCCTTTTATTGGAGAATGGTATTTAGAAACCAAAATTTCAGCATTAGGTGTGTTCATTGCTACTGAGGTGTCATTGTTTCTGGGCCTAAAGAACAAAACATTTTTATATAAAATATATATTTTGATTTTTTAGAACAAAACATTTTTATATAAAATATATATTTTATTGATTTTTTACAGAGAGGTAGGGAGAGGGATAGAGAGTTAGAAACATCAATGAGAGAGAAGCATCGATCAGCTGCCTCCTCCACATCCCCTACTGGGGATGTGCGTGCAACCAAGGTACAAGCCCTTGACCGGAATCGAACCTGGGACCCTTCAGTCCCCAGGCCGACACTCTATCCAGTGAGCCAAACCAGCTAGGGCCAAAATATTTTTTAATGAATTCCTTCTCCGAAGACTCTGTAATCTCTTTCCATCCTTTATTTACAGGTTCAAGTATTATATTATTGTGATTAGTGTATATTTTACTTTTTCTTCCAATTACTTTTCTTAGACATTTCATATATGGATAGTGGTATTTTTAAATAACTATTTTGACTGTAATATAGTACTGACCTTCATTAATATTAGTTTGATTATTCCCTTTTATTTGATTTTTGGTTTTTTTTAAGTTAACAAAATCTTTGTACAAATAAGTCCTTTTGAAATATTTCTTGTGATGTAGTTCTAAAAGTGGAATCACTATGTTAGATGACAGTTTATGGCTCTTAAGAAATATGCAGGTTGAATGAATTATTTAAAATCTTAAACAGAAAACTGAAGAGAAAATGCTCCCTCAAAGTGATCACATTTTTAAAAGACTGGAATAATTGTAACATGTAATTTTATATATATTTAGAACTGTACTTTATTATTTAAATGGATAAGAATTTAACTTCTCTTTAGGAAATTTAAAAATAAAGTCTGTGTGTATATCATATCTATTTGTGAAGTTAGCATATCTGATATGCTGTTTAGGAATTTTAATGCAAGGTTTGTTTAGAGCAACAAAAACTTAATGGAATAAGTGATGTAGGCATTTTCTATATAGCCAATGATCTGGTGCGGAATAAAAATCATTGTAATAAATTTGTATTCAAGGGGAAGAAATATCAGGCTCTGATATCAGTGGGTCAGAAGAGGATGATGATGAAGAGGGTGAGGTTGGAGAAGATGGAGAGAAAAGGAAAAAAAGAAGGGGTAAGTTCTTTTTAGTTCTAGAAATTACCTTAGATTGCTACTTAATGATGGCTTAACATTCTCAAGGAAGTTGAGTGCATGCCTTTTATTTTGCCATTTTTAGTTACGGTAGCAAGTCAAACAGGAAGTATGACATATACCTGGTTAACTTTTTATTATTATTTTCTGTATTATTTTTCCTCCTGTACTTCTCTGTTTATAGCTGAATTAGAATACCCTATGTTCTGTTTTTATTTTAAAATTTAGAATTGTAAGTTAGTGATAGTGGATATACTATTTTATAATTTCATGTAAGGTTTCAATTTTATGTAGGGACTTTTATGTACATTATGAACCTAAACTTTTTAGGAACTTAGGATAATGTGGAGTTTTTCTCAAGTATAATTAGGCTTTCGAAGTCATTGAATTTTTTAATAAATTTGTATAAGGATTCTAATTTTTCAATTTGATTTTTTCTTTATAAAATGTACTTTCATTCTCACCCTGTTATGTGCCATTTATTGCCAAGTACAAATTAACACTGTTTATTGTGATAAAGATATGGATAACATACAAAAGAGAGAGACATGTTAAATGGCCTACATTAAAAATTTTTTACCCTAAATGTTTGTTTATTTTGGAACTCTCTTCCATTAACATGGGTCATTGTTTTCAAGCTGGTGCATATTTTGCTTGTCTTATTAAAATTATCGTAATCAGGGCAAGATGTTCAAGTGCACATCTTTTGCCATTGCCTAGCTGGCTGCACCCACCCTTTAGGGAGATGGGGTCATTAAAGTAAACTTAACATTGAAAAAAAAATGATCTTGCTGAAAATAAACCCGTTACTGCTTGATCAGGACTCCAAAATTCACAAATGATAAAGATTTTATAACTTCAAAAGACAGGAAAAGCATGATTTAGAGCAGGAGTTGGCAAAATATAGTCTGCTGGCCAAATTCAGCCTACCACATGTTTTTGTAAATGAAATTTTATTAAACAGCCATGCTTATTTGTTTATATGTTGTCTATGACTGGCTGCTTTCACATGGGACTGTATGGCTCTCAAAATCTAAACACTTATTATCTGTACCTTTACAGAAAATGTTTGTCAAACCCTGACTTAGAGAATCACTTTTGTGTGCATACCTATTTCTTATTTATTGATTTGAAAGAGAGAGAGAGAGAGAGAGAGAGAGAGAGAGAGAGAGAGAGAAAGAAACAGAGAAACATCTGTGTGAGACAGAAATGTGAATCCCTTGCCTCCCTAACATCTCCCGATCAGTCATTGAACCTGCAACCTGGGCATGTACCCTGACCGGGAATTGAACCGGGACCTTTTGGTGCACAAGACAGGGCTCAAACAACTGAGCCCCACTGACCAGGCCATACTTGTTTTTCACAAAATAAATTATTCAAAGCTAAAGCAGATAATAGATTTATTAAAAATAAAATTTTAAATAGCAAAAAATATTTAATAGTAAAATACCTTCCTTTCAGGCTTAGAAATTATAAAATGTTCAGTGAGCTTTTCAAAGTTTGACCATGAAACCTTAAAACATACATAATTATGTCTATATCTAATAGTGTGATGTTTTAAAGGAGAATGAGTGAAATTGGATACAAACCAACCTGTCTATAATGTAAGGCAATTTATCATTTTATAAGTTTAATTATGCATGACTTCAAATCTTAAAACTCAGTTCCTTTAACTTATCAACCTAAATAGTTTAAATAAACTTAAATGTCACCAAATGACTTACTGATTTTTTTATTCTTGTCATTCCAACCCTCTGAATTACTGTGTTTTAGGTGAATAGTGGGGTTTGCCCACAGTAGATGCTTAAAGGAATACAGTTTCTAATTCTGCATGGCTTTGATAGTAGAGCATATTGGCTAGACTCCCAAGACTGGTTTTGAGGGAAAGTAAGTTTTGGTTCTTTAATACAAAACTTGATTGTCTTTTACAATTCTCTCTCTGGAACTGAATTTTTCTGTGTATGTATTCCTTTTCTTGTTTCCTTTTTCTTTGGTTCCCGTTGGGCTCATTTCTTTGTCTTCCAGGCAGTAGCAGCAGCAGTAGTTCAGACTCCACATGTTCTGTCATAGAGAAACCTCTGGATAAGTTCTTGCCTAGTGAGTGGTAGCTCTTAAGTTCTCTAACAGAGCTTTGGCTTTTTCATAACCCGTGGGCTTCATTTGAGGAATGCTGCACTGCTCCCTGTCATGACTTAAAGAATACATGTTGGACTTCTCAGTAAACAAAGCATGTGATGACCTCCCCCTTCATTGCTTCCAGTAACCTATAATTGTTAAAACATACACTTAAATTTATGTTTGAGACAATGGAAGAGAGATTCATGCTTTTGCAATTGAGATAATGTAAAGAGAGCTAGTAAGCTGTATAAAAGAATACTTCTTACGGTTCCTTTTCATGTTTCATGGTTTCATGCCAGATTTCTAATCCTTGTCAGTATAATGGACATGTAGTAACAAATCCTGACTTTCTAAAACTCAGGATGAAATACAGTGCCAATTATAACATGTCTTACAGTTTATAAAGGTTTTAGGCTTTGGTGTTTTAATCTTAGGGTAGCTTAAGAGTGAAAGCACCCAAATAAATAAATAAAAAGTAAAATTTGAAGCAAGTGAAGATAAATTGAATAGTACTAGTATTTTATATCAAATGGCCATTTATCTCTATAGCTAAATTACCTGATTGATTTTAAGAAATTTTCTAATGTATGATTATAGAAATCAAATCCACAAGAAATTGTTTATGCATTATCTGTTGATTTATTTCAAACCTAAAGACTTTTTCTTAAACCTTAATTATTTATATTTCATTTTCAGAAGAAAAGGGAATTGATGCTTTCTTGTACTAGCTTTCAGCTTACTGTCTTTTAAAGCATTATCTATATACTTACCTTTAGAAACCAATAGCAAAAACGTTTGATTATTGTTCTTATGCCTTGAGCTTTCTAGAGAAAGAATTCCAAGAATATTAGGAATTGTATTCTCTATTGACAGTTCTTAAATTTTACCAAAAACAGTTAATTTCAGAGGATAACATAAAATACATGACATTGCTTTAGAAACCATATAGAGGTATTATTTTGTATTATAAACTCTGAAATACAAAAAAATATCTGAGTGGGAGGCATTAATTTTCTGTTTTAAAATTTACCTTAATCCTTAAAGACTAGTTATATGAAAGTCTATTATGAAATGAGTTGTACTTTGTTCAGTTCAAGCGGTTTGTGCACCTGGCACATAACATTAAGTTCTTTTTTTGTGATGTGGGTGTGCTGATGAGTACAGAGATGGTTGTCCCAGCATGATTGCTATGTGTAACTTGTATGTACTTTCCCTTTAAAAAATATGAATGGCCTTTTTATTTACGTGTTCTTTGCTTGAATCATCAATTGATTATTTACTTCTATAGAATCATTGTAATTATCCTTAATGAGCCACTAATAGATTGAATGCAAGTTTGTTATTTACAGGTGTACTTCACTTTATGTAATAAATGTTTTTGGTGTGTATGTTTCTTTTCCTGAAAAAATTGCCCTTAAATCAAGTTGGGAAATCAAATGTATTGAGAGAGATCTTGCTTTTTAAAAGAATTCTTCATTAAATCCTTTTGTTAATTAAATCATTATTGCAAATTGCTATAATCTAATTTGGGGTTGGATTTTCTTAAAGGGAGGCACACCTGTAACAGTTCCTTACATTGGAAGAACATTGAATTGGGAAATTTTGAAAATGGACAGTGTGAATTTTGCTGCTTTTAACTTATTAAATTGGCTTAATTTTCTGTTTTGCTCTTTTAGAATACTTCTCAGGTCTTAGCAGTTTCCCAATTCCATGTCTACTGTTATTATACCCACATGGTGCTGAACTGTTATATTTGCAGGAGTTTGGGAGTCTGAGCTCTTGACATTGAATTGAATTGTAGTATTAGACGAAATTAATCTTCCTGTTATCTTTGCTTAAATTACATCTCTGATTGTGTTGAATATGCTTTACTTTTTACATAAAACTGCTCTTTCAGTTTTGATAGTGATTTGATTTTTTCTATACTTACACTATAAATAAATGCTATTATACATTTTTCTTTGTTTTACATAAGAAATAATGTTTTTCTTTTTTTCCTCTTCATCTCTGTGCATATGCTTCCTGTCTACGATTTGCTTACTACTTCTTATTGAAAGATCAAGCAGGTTGGTGTGATTGATTTGCACTCCCCGTGGTACAATTATTTAAACTATAAAGAACTTTGTCATTTAACTATATTACATTTTTTTAAAAAATTTAATGATTTTTTAACAAGGTAAGTATCCACCTTTTGTATTTAAAAAATCTTTCAACTTTAGCTTTAAAAAAAAACTTCCATTTTTTTTTCTAAATAATTTTTTAAAAATTTATTTCCGTTTTTATTGACTTAAATATTAGGAACATTTTTTTATTTCCAAAAGATCTTCTTAGCAGAACAATTCAGAAGTATTAGATTGACAGTGACAGACACACAGGATGTGCTAGACCTAAATAACAGCAGAGACAAAAATAATGTATCACCAGAACTAGATGGCATAATCTTTTTTCCTAAAATTTTACAAGACCCATTAAGCCAAATTTTGGAAATACAAAAATAAATGATTTCAGAAATTTTTTTTTTTTTTTTTTAAGTGAGGAATCAGATGCTTGGTTATTTATGCCCATGGGTGTTCATATAGTGAAAATGAAATTCAATTAACACTTTTCTGAGATTCTTCCCTTTAACTGTACCTTGCCAATGTCCCCCTTCACAGTTTTGGATAGAGCACATGGCACAGGGCAATTGAAAATATATTTATCTGAAAGTTTGTGCTGAATTCTGTTATGCAGTATTAGAAGCATTTTTTTGTTTGGTTGGTTTTGTTGAATGAAATTTTAAAAAATTAATGTAAAAGTGATTTTTAGTGATTTCATGTTTTCAAGTGCCTGGTTAGAAGAGTTGGTACATATCTACATTTAGCTTTAAATATTATTTGAAGAGAAATATAATGATTTATTGGAGTAATTCTGGCAATAATATATTGCGAAATATTAGATTTTTGAAACTGAACCTAGCTATATATACATGGTTATTTTTGTGAAAATGTTACAAGAGCACAATAAGATCTTTGTTGCTAAAACATCAGTTTGAAAATATTACCTGAATGATTTTTAATAACTAATGCAATTTAATTATAGTAGTAATTCATCAGTAGGCATGAATTATATTTTGTATTTCTAAATATAAAATCTTTTTATTCTATTGCCTCTTAATGGGCTTGGAAACTATATGGTGGTTTTTGTGTGTGTGTGTGTGTGTGTGTGTGTGTGTGTTTTAACATATTATTATTGATTTCAGAAAGGAAGGGGGCGGGGAGAGAAACATCAATGATGAGAGAGAATCATTGATCAGCTGCCTCCTGCACACCCCCTCCTGGGGATCAGCCTGCAACCCAGGCATGTGCCCTTGACCGGAATCATACCGGGATCCTCAGTCTGCAGGCTGATGCTCTATCCACTGAGCCAAACCGGCAAGGGTGGAAACTATATGCTTTTAACTGTTGACAATTAGAAGCCTGGAGGCCTAAAAAAATTAATGTACATATATTGACCAGATCATTTCTTTTATTCCATTAATATCCATGTCTTCACACATACAGGGTTGTTGTTTTCTCCCCTTAACATATTTGCTGTTTTTTTTCTTTAAATATTTGAAATTCTGAGGTAGAAAGGAAGCTATAATTTATTATGCATGCCACTTACATTATACCTGAACCTACACTTTTCCCCCTCAAATTTTTAAGAAATAGTATTATCAATGGGAAATTCTTTGGGAATAGGGATTCGATTACTTTTCTAAATTATCTTTTAATAGTGTTATTCAGAACATTCAATACAGGTGACTGTGCCAAAGAAGCCAATAGAATCAGGTCTACATCCTGACTTTTGGAATGCAATGAATCACACCATACCAGAGCATGAATTTGGATCAGTGCTTTTATTTAATCTTTTATTTAACTTATTTGTTTCATGGCTTAAGTTTGCTTCAGACGTATATTTATTTAGAAATGAAGGGTAATATATTTTAAATTAAACCCTTGGGTTTTTTACTATAATTTTAACCTAAAGAATTGAAGCCTATGCATGATTCTTTGTCTCATGGTTTCCGAAAGAATATATTCAGATAATATCTATCTCCATCATCATTATTTTTCAGTTCCTTTTCCTTCTTAGCAGGAGGGGTTAGCTTTTGGGTGGAGACATTAACAACTGAGAAAGTCTTCTGGTTTACACTTTTCTGTGGTCCTTGGGAAAGAAGTTAAAAAATACAGAAAGCTCTCAGGAGAGCCTCAGGCCAATTCTATGAAAAGTTTGATCATTTTTCTGAAAGAAAGTGTGTTTCAAAGAAAGTATATTTATTACCAGAAATGAAAGATCTTGACTCAGTTTCATAAGCAGCTTAATATGCTAGTTTTATTTTCTCTCTTTGATTTTGCATTTCAACTTCATGATTTTGAAATTCATTCAATAAACTTTTGTTGTTGTTAATCGTCACCCGAGGATATTTTTCCATTGATTTTTAGAGATAGTGGAAGGGAGGGGGAGAGACAGAGTGAGAAACGTCGATGTGAGAGACACGTCGATTGATTGCCTCCTGCATGGCCCCAACCAGGGCCGGGTGGAGCCTGCAACTGAGGTATGTTCCCTTGACGAATCGCACTGGGGACCCTTCAGCCCAGAGCCAACACTCTATCCACTGAGCCAAACAGGCTAGGGCTCATTCAATAAACTTTTATTGAATATTTACAACACTCAATTTAGCACTTTTATTCATACTATTATTTGTGTATTAAGCACTCTACTTACTAGAATTATAATTAAAGTAATCAATTGGAAACTGTGTTTCCAGCTTGATTATTTTGTAATATTTCTACTTATACTTAATATTTGTACTTAATGTGACAGATTTAGGGTCCTTTGTTTGATATAATAATGAGTTATTTTAGTTTTTCATTTAAAATATGACATCATGACAGCTCAGCAACTAAAAAATGCCTGGTTAATTACTATGTAACTGTTATATAATTAGTATAGACTTTTTTCCTTTAAAAGCATACCGTGAAATAAAATATTTTCCAGTAATTTTATTAAACAAAATTTTATAAATACTCTGAAGATATATATTGAAAACTACTTGGTATAAGTTCTGACTGATATTTTTATCTGTTCATTTTAAACATATATGTGACTTTTACTTATTTATTTAAATAAATTATAGGGAAGTATTTTGGGAAGCCACTTTATTTTGTATCTGGTTATCAGAAAAAAGTAACTAAATAATCATATTGCTTTTCCCACCATATATGTTATTTTGAGACACACAGATCTGTGTTTTTTTGTTTGCTTGCTTTGGCTTTCCTGTTTCCTGCTCATCTGTTTTGCTCCTCTTTTACTTACTTTTGTCCTAATCATTGCACATTTGGAAAACAGTTTGAATTTAGCAATTAGTTTAAAAGTTCTTCTAAGAACATAAAATAAATTATTCATTTGATTTCCTTAAAATGTTAATATTTGATCTTATATTACTGAGGAATGTATCTTTTATAAAAATGAAGAGAATCTACTAGTATACTGGTCTGAAACATTGACTCTAAAGTGATTGTTGGATAATTGAATGACTCAAACAGGTAAAAAGAAAGTTTCCCCTGATAAGATGGTTGAAATGCAAGCAAAAATTGATGAAGAGAGAAAAGCACTTGAAACAAAGCTTGACATGGAAGAAGAAGAAAGAAACAAGGCTAGGGCTGAATTAGAGAAACGGGAAAAGGATCTTCTTAAGGCCCAGTGAGTATTACTGAATTGATGTAGATTTGTGTTTTAAATTTATTATATTTTTCCGAGGACTTATGTATAAGGAAAAAAATTGAATAATAATTAAAAGCTTGATTTTTATCTCCAGAGTAGCTATTTTTGGATAGACGGTTTCATTGTGTATGTTGTATTTCTGAAAATTACATGTTTTGATTATTTCCTCTCTTTGTGAGAGGAAAAAATTTTAAGTGAATTTGAATTAGTTATAGATCAAATCATACAGTAATGAATTATCCAGTGGTATAATTTGATAGAGATGTTGCATAACCATATTCCTATTTTGAAATTTTGCATCCAAACTCATTAAATTTGGTAAATGATATTGGTACAATAGTAGATAATCGATGAATATAGAGTATTCTCATTTTAATCAACAGACAAGAGCATCAGTCTTTGCTAGAGAAATTATCCGCACTGGAGAAGAAGGTAATTGTTGGTGGTGTTGATTTATTGGCGAAAGCTGAGGAACAAGAGAAACTTCTTGAAGAATCTAATATGGAACTGGAAGAAAGGAGGAAAAGAGCAGAGCAACTTCGAAGAGAATTGGAGGAAAAAGAGGTATCTTTTTGGTTCTGGTTGACATTTTTTTTCTAGTGAAAAGCTAAATATAATTTTAATAACATTTTAAAGCAGACCCGTGGGTTGCTTTGAAGATGGCTGCTAAGCATATTATTTGTTAAACATAAAGCAGCATAAAAATGAAAAGAAGGCATATGTACTACTATTTGTAATACCTTAAACAATAAAATTTAAAAAATAAATTTGTGATTTAAAGAATAAATTATTCTGAAGTTTATCAATTTTTCTCATAGCAAGAACGCTTGGATATTGAAGAAAAATATACCAGTTTGCAAGAGGAAGCACAGGGAAAGACCAAAAAATTAAAGAAAGTTTGGACTATGCTGATGGCTGCAAAGTCAGAGGTTGGTCTCTTAGAAATTACCTACTAATGTAGTTCTGAATTTAAAAAAAAATTATTATTTTATTAAGTATGATTAAGAATCCAAAAGGAATCATGTGTGCTTACAATTTTAAAGAAATAAAAATTTATCCTTGATGTGCAGTTTTTAATTTTAGCTCTTAAATTAAATTTCTAACCTTAACTAATAATGTGAAAAAGACATGTGAGGCCCTGGCCAATGTGGCTCAGTTGGTTGGAGCATGGTCCTGTATATCAAAAGGTGGTGGGTTTGATTCCCTGTCAGGGTGCGTACAAGAGACAACTGGTTGATGTTTCTCTCTCACATCGATGTTTCCCTCTCTCTCTCTCTCTCTCTCTCAAATAAAATACAATAAAATAAATAAGACATTGTTAGTGTCATTCTGTCCATTGTTTTAGTGAAAGAACTGGGTAAGCTCTTACAGGGTTTCTATGTCAGATTGAACTATTTTGTATTTAAAATCTTGTTTGTCCTTAATATTTTCATTGATTTTCTCATAGATGGCTGATCTCCAACAAGAACATCAGAGGGAAATTGAAGGCCTATTGGAGAACATTCGACAACTTAGCCGGGAGCTTCGGCTTCAGATGCTTGTTATTGATAACTTTATACCTCAGGATTACCAGGTAAGAGGAAAGTTCTCTGACCTAGATAATAGGTCACTTGGCTGGGGTTAAGAAATAAGGAAATATAATTTGTCATTTAATTGGTGGTAAATACTTACATTTCAGTTGTTGACGATAAAATTTTCTTGAACCAATGCCATAACATTTCACTTTAGCTCTTAACTTTTCTTAGTACATAATTCTGTTTGAGTATCTAAGTATCTAAATAAGAACTTCTCAGTCCTTTAGAGAAATCGAGATTCATTTATAGAAGGTGCTTAAATAACATTGTTTCGGTCATCGTTGTTATATCATTGATGAGAAGAAAAAAAAAATTGATTCCCAGCCAGGGCCACTGTCTGTATGGAGTTGGCATGTTTACCTCATGTTTGTATGGGTTTTCTCTGGGTCTTCAGGTTTTCTCCCACATCCCAAAGATGTGCACATGAAGTGAACGGCATGTCTGCATTGCCCCAGTCTGAGTGAGTGTATGTGTGTGTGGTGTGCCCTGTGATGGAAGGGCGTCCTGAACAGGGCTGGTTTTCGCCTCGTGCTCTCAGCTGCTTGGACAAGCTCCAACATCCCGTGAATATTTTTCCCTGAACTGGATGAGCCAATTGGAAAATAATGATCTTAATCTTTCATATATATATAATTATCACATTTATTTCAGTGTTTAATATTAGTAGTTTGGGGTCTTTATTTAGAAGTTTGGTGATGTTTTTGTGACCAGAAATATAGACACTTAACTCTTGTTTATATCAGTTAGCCTATGATAAAATTGGCTTTATTATACATCATTTACCTTAACGTCACAGCTTCCAAGAACCGAACAAAACCTTAAGTGAGGACTTAATGTAGTCACAGTCAGAATCAAGATATAGCTGCTGTTTATTCATTCAATGTCCTTTATCCTATGAATAAAATAAGCAGAACTCCTGTTGGAACTTTTTCTTCCTGCTTATGGATGCTAATTCTCTGTGTGTGGGGGTGGGGGTAAAATATACATAACATGAAATGTACCATTTTAAGTATTTTTAAGAGTACAATTCACTGACATTAAGTATATTCATAATGTTGTACAACCATCATTATTTTCCATTTCCAGACAGATGCTAATCCTTAATACTATTTTTCTTTACTCAAAATATTCATCTTTCTAGTACATTTTAGTACACTTTAACATATTGATTTTTTAAAATTTTACTTTGAATCTCTATACAGCTGTAAGCAGTTTGTCTAAAAATAAGCCGTAGTATTTTTTCCTTTGAACATCAGGTGTATAGAATTAACCTTTGGTTCTTGGTACACTCTCCTTATTGGCCCTGGAAGGCCTCCTTTGATTTAATTTGTTATTTTGTAGTGAACTCATCACCTCAAACAAAAGCTAGGACCACTATAGTAACCTACTTCCAATCAAATGGTTCCCTCTCCCTCTTCCCTCCCTTTGCCTCTTCCAACTCAAGGTAACTTTCATTCTGAATCATGTTCTTCATTTCCTTGCTTTTTATTTTTATATAGTTTAATTGCATCTACATATATTTCTTAAAAGCATATATTTTTAAATTTATAACAAGTGTATCATGTAGTACATAATTGAGACAAAATTTCCCCCATAATTTATTAAGATTTTAGTTCCATGAATATTTTTCAGTATTTTAAGTATTATAAATATTAAAAGTAGACTATCTTTGACTCTTAAAAGGAAATGATTGAAAACTATGTCCATTGGAATGAAGACATAGGAGAATGGCAGCTGGTGAGTATTACCTTCATCCTTTCATGGAATCCTGTGGAGTGCTACCTGCAGTCTAGGAATTTTGCTGGCTCCAGTGGGGGGAGAGGTGGTCCATAGGATGAATCAGATGAGACTGCAGTAGGGTGGAGATGTTTTTCTAATTAACTGTGTTATAATACACAGAATATTCAGTGGAAATGGCATGGGCAGGGCTACATAGTACCAAAGGACTTCCAGGTCCCTTTCTGTTCCAGCATTCAAATTATGTTTCATGAGTGTAACATCAGTAGATCTCACAATAATTTGCTAATTCACAGTATTAATTGCTAATTAAAACAATTCTCCTCTGTCTCTCCCCCCTCCCCCAAGAAATGTGTTGCCTACACAGGAAATAACATGAGGAAGCAAACTCCAGTTCCTGATAAAAAAGAGAAAGATGTAAGAGTGCTTTTAAAAAAAATTACAGTGTAAAATATTTATAGGGCTGTGGGTCACTAAGTTATGTGATCAACATGAAATCAGTCAGATGTGCTAAAACAAGTGGGTTGATTTTGGGGAATAGAGGCTCTTGGATGGGGCGATTGTTAGGACAGTTGTGATGGCAGGCGGAGTTCCTCCTCCAAAGAGTGGCATGGAATCTTCTTTGGACTCCCTCTTTTCACCACCTTTCTGGGTCATGGGGATGTGTTTAGCGACCAGAATGTCCTTTTCAAAGCTAGTCTTAGTCTTGGGTCCACAGGAGGAGATAGCAGCTTTAGGGAAAGCAGCAACAGTTCTGCTTTGCTGCTAAGGAGTTTATGGTGTGTCAGGGCTCACTCACCAACCCTGGCTGAATACATTTGAGATCAGTGGAGTTAAAGATGTCTTTAGATACTTGTTTCGTCTTGTCTTCTGTGGCTTTTTTCTAGAGTTTGTTCAGTGCTTTAAATCTTCCCCCAAATCTGATTTGTCTGGTGTTGGTTTCCTTTACTTAAGCCCTTTGAAGTGGACCTTTCCCACGTGTATCTTGCCTACACCGAGGAGAGCCTGCGACAGTCCCTGATGAAATTGGAGAGGCCACGGACTTCAAAGGGGAAAGCAAGGCCAAAGACAGGGAGAAGGTAAGACTGTCTTAGAGTCCCACGAAATCAAGGCAGTGAGATGCTAATTAGATATATTTAAAGGAAATTTAGTTAAGATGATAAATATTTTGGCTGATACATTTAAATATCACAATTCTTGCCCTGACCTGCATTGTTCAGTGGTTAGAGTGTCCACCCCTGCACTGAAGGGTCTCGGGCTCTATTCCTGGTCAAGGGCACATACTCGGTTGCAGGTTCGATCCCCAACCCTGGTTGGGCTGTGTGCAGGAGGCAACCTGTCGATGTGTCTCTCTCTCATCAATGTCTCTCTCTTTCTCTCTCTCTCTCTCCTCTCTTTGCTCTCTCTTTGTCTGTCTCCTCCTCCCCTCCCCCTTCCAGTCTCTGAAAATCAATGGAAAGAATATCCTCTGGTGAGGATTGACACACACACAAATGTTCTTATTAGTTATGATTTGAGTAAATAACATCTTGCTAAAGAATTAAGGTCTTCCAACGTCTTTAGCTGTATTGAGTAATAGATTTTATTTTTAATGTATTTTGTTCTTTCCAAGATATCTACTATCTTAATTCCTTAATTCTTACACTAATTCTTCTAGCGAGACGCTAATTAATTTGCCTGGTTAGACTCTTAAGTATTACATTCAGCTGATTTGTTTTTCTATCATAAATATTGTCCCAATCACTTGATGTCCTCAGTCACCAGTTAAAGAAAACTTCTCTGACCATCTTTTCTTCTCCTTTGGGGGCTGGTTTGACTGTTGAGTAGTCTGTATGTGCCACCACATACGCCCAGGGAACCAGGACTTGAGAGGCTGGAGCTTAAGCTTCTCCCTCTGCCCTCCATCAAGTGCTGTTGAGCTTATTTAAACTGATTGTAAGACTTTGGGGCTCCTGAAATGAGAGGGAATAATAAGCTCATTTTACCCACTGCTTTGAGCACTTGGATTTTTGAGTTACATGTAAGGTGAGGTTGTATGGGTTTAATATTTTTTTGTTGCATGATCTCATAGACATGACCTAACATTTATAAATTTGGGATAGTTGAACTCAAGGAGGAGGAATCAGTACCATATTAAAAGTGCACAAATTTTACATTTTTTAGCATTTATGTGCTAGGGGTTAAAAACTCTTCATCTGCCAGCAGAAGCCATGCATTAATGAATGAAGCATAGCAGTTCAAAGAAACATGAATTTTTTTAGACCTTTCACTTTTCCACTTTTAATAGAGATATTTTCCTCTTAACTGAGAAGTTAGTAAGAAAACTAACAATGCAAGTGTGATGATAAATGGTAAGACAGTTGGTTTCAGTATAGGTGAAAAATAGGCAGCCGTGGGGAGGGGACAAAATGGAGAGTAGTCTGTCTGAAATGAGTGGCTGCTACCTTGCTCCTAGTTAGTTTTGGGACTAGAGGGCCCATTGTTTCCAACGCCTCTTGTTTCAAAGAAGAAGCCAGAAATCAAATTATTTAAATGAGATCTCTCCATTTTCAGTCACTTTTTAAGAACGATGTGGACCTAAAGCAAACAAACAATTTAATGTTATTTGGATACAGTTTTCAGAATACTCATTTAAAAATATGTACCTTTTTGGTAAACAAACAAAACAAAACAAACATGTGAGCCAACATTACATTAGCCAAACCCACCATCTCTGTGCATCAGAATTAGCCTGCTGTGTTATGAAAACAATAGATGGCCTTAAACACAGACAAATATACACATTAAATGGTTTATTGATATTACATTACATGATAATGTTCAATGTATGTTTCTCATTAGAAATGCATAGTGCAATATGCTAAGCAAAATTGCAATAAACATGGTACATTAATGTAGCATTTACATCAGTCCCTACATGTGCATCTGTACTGTATTGCCTCAGATGATGTTGTCTCTGAATAAACCCGCACCTTTAGCCTACCCTGGAAGAGATCATCAGCAGGTTCAGTCTGGCAAGCATGCAGCCACTTGGCCTGGCTGCGTTGTCTAGTCCAGTTTTGGAAATTATCATCCACTCAGTTTCTCACCTCTCTGGGTGGAGGGTGGAGTGCCATGATCTTGCACCTATTCTTGGTGAGGTTTCCCTCGCCTGAAAAAGTGGGCATGAATTGATCTCTTAACATGGTCAAACCTTGGCCTGGTTCTAGACTCTATGCCCCCTTGTTTTATCTTCTACATAATGTAAAGTGTTTGCATTTCAGTCTTTTAGGAAAGTTTTCATGTTTTCTTTTTCTCTTCTCCAAACAGAAAGCGTTCTGCAAAGCCTGAAACTGTAATTGACTCTTTACTTCAGTAAATGTTACAGACTTAAAGTCTCAATAAAAATATCACTATCCTCATGCCTGGACAAAATATTTAATTAAAACACTGAAGACTTTTGTGTAATTTCAAGTAATGAAAGCTGTAAGTCATGGAGTGAGACTGGAAGTAGTAATTTGTCTAATAATTTTTAGTCTATATATGTCAATATAACATTAAAATTGCACAACTGGTAATTGTTCAAATAGTCATATTACTCTTCATTTTATACTATGCAGGGAAGTTGGGGGAGCAGCTCCTACTATAGAGAGTTGCTGTCGAAATGCATTCATAAATCTGCTAGTAATTTGCTCAACTCCTGTGTATTTACATAATTGGATGTTCAAAATAGAATAAAATGTAGGTCCTGTCTTGCACATAGACAGCAGTTCTAATTGTCCTATGTTTTGCTGTTATATATGAATGTCTGAGCTGCGTATCTAAGAAACGATTCAATCCTAACACCCGCCCGGCCTGTTTAAATATGTTCTCATTTTTGTGTTATCTTTATTGCATTTTAAGTATTAGATGACCTGTAGAAAATTTATAATTTACAGTCAATCTTTAGAAGTACACGTTGAAAATATGTTTGAACTGTACCTCTCTTGACCTTTTTTGCCATTTAGAGTTTAAATCAAATATACTTTTGTTCTGGTTTCATGTTCTCTTAAAACATTGAGTATGTACCTAATTATAAAGGAGTCACAGTTGCAGGAAATTAAGCTAAATACTGGTCACTAGTCTTTGCTGTATGTGTATATTTTTTAAAATTTATTTTGAAGTGTGATTAATGGATGCTTCCTTTTAAGTTCTAAATTGTGATGAAAATTGAGTCTCCATTTCCCAGAAAGTACAACTAAAGCAAGAAAAATAGCTTTTAATCCTCTACCTTTAAAATACTTTGTTTTGTTTTTTCTTTATAGTTTATTAAAAGAAATATTCTTCCCTGAATTTCTTCCATTGACAAATCCAGTCAGACCATCTTCCTCTAAAAATAAAAATAATATTTATTTTATAGTAAAATAACTTGTAACATATAGAATTGTGTTTTCCTTTTTGGCTGCTTACAAAATTTTTGTTTTTATTTTTTAATGTTATGTTACACCACTGAATATATCTTTTGTGAATTTTAAAATAAATTAGTATTAAGTTAACATTAGTTTAAGAAGTTTGGTTAAATGGTTTATAATTACAAAGCCATGTATAGAGTGGGGGTGAGTAAAGGTGGTGTACTTGTGAGGTGGTAGTAAAAATGTGTCCATAAATTTAAAGTACATTACAAAGGTGTGTACTGAATGTCCTGTGTATGGTGCATATTTTCTAGGTAATAAGAATTGCATTTAACTGGTAGTGTTTTCTTTGTAGTATGTAAGATAGAAGTTTATAACTTTACTCTGTGAGGCAACTGTTTACGTACTGTGAAGACTTGAGGTGAATACGTGTCTTGTAAGAGCTTTGTGTGAGCAGAATATCTTGGCAATTGTAGATGCACATTTAACTGTTAGTAATTACTCTAGGGAAATCTTAATTTTACCAATAGAAAGAAAAGATGAATACTTCTTCTTTTTAGAAGTTCATGTTTATCGCCTTTAATTATCTAGTTAATAAGAAAGGAATGGCTTTTACATTAAGCTCTAAAACAGCACAGAAAACTTAAGCCAGTATGTTAGATTGTTTTCTATTCCACTCCACTATAATAACAAAAAGAAACCTATAAAAAGTCAAAGCATTAAACATTTTTTTAAAAAATAGGCTACTTTAGCAGTTTTTTAAAAGTATTTACATTAGAACTTATACCAGATGGATAATAATTGTTCATCTTATGAAATACCAGAATTATATATTTAGGCAGGCCTGACTCATCCATATGAAAACATGGGACACTGACTAGACAGCGATTCTCTTAGCTCCAATCATAGCAGTTCTGTGGTTTCTTCACACTTACTGTGTCTTTGTGCACAAATAAAATATTTTGTAACTTCAGTGTTAATTTCATATAAGGATATAGATAAGCAAACTTGCTCATTATATGAAATAGACATACTTAAAACGAGTGGCACATATAAATAGGTTTTTGAATGGGTATTTTCTCTTTAATTTTAAAAAGTATTATTTATTTATTAAAAGGAGCCTTGGTAGAATGTTATTGGTTGTGGTATATTCTTTAATAAGCGCTGTAATTATATATACTGATAGTTAGGATATTAAAAATATCATCGTAGTCCTCATTTTTGTTTAGGTGCTTGTATTAAAGTATAAGATTACTCAAGGAGGGAGGTCTGAATCCATGTGTTTATCCCACAAATAGAATCCATTTGATCTACTTTCTAGGAAAAGGGGACCTTTCTTTTTGCAGCAAGAGATTTAAGGTCACTTGGGATTGGGGGGGGGGGGGATGCCACTTCATCTGTAAGATTTTTAGAAAAATTATGATTATGATTTTTGGGTTTTGTTTCTTCATAGTCTTTTTAAAATGTCTTTCCCCTTGACTCTTAAGGAATGTCCCTCTCTTTCCTACAGGGCTGTGAATTAAGGAATTGGTAGGGTGTACATTTAAGCACTCCAGTGTCTGCCTAATTTCTTAATATATGCATTTGTTTTCCTTTTTAGCTATTTTTAATTTAAAATACTAGAACAAAACATAGATCTTCCTAGTGCCTTTGAACTTACACTGTAGTCTGACTAGTTTAAATCATTAATAACTTCAGTAGCATTGCTATAATACTGTATACTGGCCTAAATTACAAATTGTACAATAAATTTGTTGCATTAATTTCAAAAGCCACACTTCCATTGTATTTTATGTATAAATTGTATTTGTTCAAGTTGTACATATTGATATTGTATATACATGTGGAGCATGGTTAAATAAGAAATAAAAGTGTTTACATAATGCCTGTAGTAGCGATCTGCTTCTTTATTGAACTATTTTGTGTTTATGTCCATCCTGATATTAACAGGCAGTTTTTTGTACTTGGCATCTCAGTTTTATGTGTTTAAGAGAGGCCTGTTTAGCCCTAGCCAGTTTAGCTCTGTGGTTAGCACATCACCCTGTGGACTAAAGGGTCCCGGGTTCGATTCTGGTCAAGGGCACATACCTTGGTTGCAGCCTCAGTCGGAGAGTGTGTGTGGGAAGCATTCAATCAGTGTGTGTCTCTCACATTGATGTTTCTTTCAGTCTCTCCCCTACCTTCCACTCTCTCTAAAAATCAATGAAAAAAAAATCCTTCTAACGAGAGAGAGAGAGAGAGAGAGAGAGAGAGAGAGAGAAACACACCTATTTAATTTCACACCCAGAAACTCTCATGCTGGTGTGAGTCTTTAACAGAAAATGGGAAGAGAGATTTTTAAATGTGCTTCTCATTGATAAAATTAGTTTTCACCAAAAATATTTTTATCCAAGTTTTGTTATTCTTTTCATTAGTGTTGAGAACAGAAACGTAAAGAAGTATGTGTGCAGAATGTATCTCACTAAAAGGTAAAAGGAGAATTTTTGAGTGGTGGCAATATCATGATCTCTTCACAATTTTAATGAGATTAAAATATCTTCAAAACAATAACATTGCTTGGGTTAGTGTTAATCATGGGTTCTTTTAATAACTACTTAATGATTACCAAGCACCATGCTAGAGCCTTATCGTCACAAAGGGGTCCAGAAGTTCTGATTTGTTGGCAAGTTTCAAAGAACTTGTGTGCTTTTTGCAGAGGAGAGGAGACATTTCAGGGCTTGCTCTCTTCCTTGTCCCGACGCTAGCTTATGTAAAACTCTAATATGTGTGTAGAACATGAAGATAAAATTAAAGACCTGCCCTGGCGTCAGCAACATGTTGTCCATCCCATCTTCTCATGAAAACTCCCAGAAATCAAAGGAAAACCCCCAGTATCAGCCTAAGGGACCTCAGTAGCCTGTGCCTAGGGGAGCAGTGACAGGGCTCTGAAACCACAACTTACAGCCAGCCAAGCCCTCCCTCTGAACACATTTGTTACAACATTATCTGAATGTCGCATTCTTCAGCCGTGTCATTTGCAAAGCAAATCAGATACTCAGTCCTCCTTCGGAAGTTGAACAAACGTGTGGGAAAATGATTATGAAGAGGCTACTTCAAAAAGAACCGGTTTCCTCTCAGCATTTATCTTGGGCTTCCTGTGACCCGATCTTCAAGCTGCTTTTATCAACGTGATCAGAACATCACTTTGTCTTACCCAAACACGTTTATGGCTCTCACTAAAGAATATGGCAGATCAGACATCCTTCCACGCCTGCTCCCCTCCCCCATCCCTGTTTTGAGGGTGGGGGAAATTTTAGTTTTTAATCAAAGGCTTTATTTCTCCAGTTGTACAAAGGAATTTAACTGGGACTTTACAACTAAATACAATATGTCTCAGAGTTGATACCAATCTTAGCAAGAGGATATTGCCTAACTCAACCTAAAAGTACAGAGTCATTACAGAAATACTGTGCTGACCTTGATTTCTCCTCAGTCACCAGGTGTCTTCTGGATTTCCCGTGTACCCACCCTGCGCTGTGGCCACGTAAATGGAGAATGACAGCGCATGTTGAGGGCTGTCGTAAAAGAGGGTGAAGGGGGAGCTGCCAGGCTTGGATTCTTCCCTAGCAGCTGACACGGTGCCTAGCACACTACCTGACCAAAAGGCCAGAAAAGGCTGTTCCTCCAGGGAACTGCTGTGGGAGGTGGGAGGCAGTCCAACATTCGGGGAAAGGCAGTCCAGGCCTGAATCCTCATGCCCTGTGCCTTGGTGGTAAGTTGGGCAAAAGAGGTGGGACAATGGAGCCTGAACAGGAAAGAGGCAGGCTCCTGCTGTGAGTTTTCTGTAAGCAGCGGGAAGCCACGGGAGGATTTTAAGTGGTCACTCGAATTGTGTTTTAAAGAAAGTACTGCTGGAAAGACGGTGAAGGATTAGGTGGGGCGCTGGGAGAGCAGATGATGTCACCCTGTGTGCTGGAGACTGCACTGGCTGTGAGCCAGAGGAGCCAACCCCCACTCCTCCGCTGGCTCTCTTGCACTCGGCTGGTACCTCGATGACCAACACCTGCACCTTCACTTCTCTTTACTCGAGTTGCCTAGCTGTTACCGGTGTGCGGTCAGCACACAAGACACCAGCACATGCTTGTGTTCGGGCTTACACTGGCTATTGCAGCCGTGGGCAAACTACGGCCCGTTTGAAATGAATAAAACTAAAAAAAAAAGACCGTACCCTTTTATGTAATGATGTTTACTTTGAATTTATATTAGTTCACACAAACACTCCATCCATGCTTTTGTTCCGGCCCTCCGGTCCAGTTTAAGAACCCATTGTGGCCCTCGAGTCAAAAAGTTTGCCC